TGTGGAATGGTGGAAACCTGTTTGGCGGTGGGGTAATGGCCAGTGCTAAGCGGGGACTTTGGTCAGTGCTTAGCGAGGGCATGGCCCGAGCCTCCATCATGGGTTCCAACCCTCACAACCCCCCCTCTAGAATAATTCTATTCTATCTAAGATTTAAGTAGAATTATTCTATTCTAGAAGTATATGTTCTATAAAATATATAGAATTTCTAGATATAATTTATTATATAACCCGGAAAAAAGTTCTTTTAGTTTAATAAACTAATAGGTACTTATATTTAGCTTAAATATCTATAGATGCCTACTATGTAATAGGTTAGGTATCTTAACTACTCTAGCTAATTACGAATATTATAATATAAAGTTTATCTAGTACTATTACTTACTAATTCTTTTCTATAGGTAGTTAATTACTATGTAAACTACTAGGTACTAGTATTTCTATTCGCTTAAATAGAATCTATTTACTAAAAACTACCCCTAAATCCTATATTTTAATTAGTTAGAAAAGTATCTAAAATTCTATAAAATTCCTAGAATTCTAGAGACTAATTTCTAGAAGTATTCTATTCTATTTTATAAGTACTCTAGAAGTATTCTATATAGAATATTCTACCTAGAATTCTATAGAATATAGTTTTATCTACCGAGAGTTATAGACTATATATCCGGGGGTATACTCTCTTACGCCCTTTCTAGAGTTACCCTACTTACCCCCTTACCTACGTATCTTATACGTACTAACTACTTATATACCCCTAGTTCTATTCCCGGGCTAATAAATACCCTTATATTCCCTCTCGCTATTATTATTATAAAGAAAGAGAAGAGAAAGTAAAAGGGAGAGAAAGGATAAATAAGTATAAGTTATTAAATAATCGTTAGCGCGATACGTACTAGCCTAGCCTAGCCGTTTTAGGAAGGTAGTATTAGGGCGCTAGGAATAAGTAATATATATAATAAAGATATTTCTACGCTTCTATCCCCCCTCTACTACCCCTTCCCCCCCCNCGCGATACGTACTAGCCTAGCCTAGCCGTTTTAGGAAGGTAGTATTAGGGCGCTAGGAATAAGTAATATATATAATAAAGATATTTCTACGCTTCTATCCCCCCTCTACTACCCCTTCCCCCCCCTCCCTTCTCTCTCTCTCTTCTAAATAAAATATACTAGGGTATATTCCTATAACGTGCATGTATAGCGAACCGGCCAAACAAGCGAACCGGTCAAAATTTTCTACACTCGCGATGGAAATTGTAAGAACTCTACCACAACGCCTCTAATTAAAAAACACTATTCAGAAATTTCTTCCTCAGATACTTCCTCTATAATATTACAGGTGCGCGTATTATGACCAGTCTCTCCGCAGTTGCCACAGCGCCGTGCACGTGATTCTTCCCTCGGCTTCCGACCACTACTTCTCTTTATTACCTGCATTACCTGCTCACCAATGTCTCTATCATCCTGTAGGTCCTGTATGTAGCTATAGTAACTAACTACCTAACTACTTAACTAATTAAACCTACTCCTTCTATTTACCCTATTCTAAACTAACCTAATCTACCTCTAAGTAACTCTAAGTACTATAGCCCTCGAGTAATAAAGTACCTTATTCTAGCGTAGTAAATTCGAGTAGTTAAGTTAAGTAGTAGCACCTAATTAACTTAACTCGAGTAGTGAAAATCGCTAATCAACTTAACCCGCCAAGTACTCGATTAAATCATAAGTAACTTTACCTACTTTTAAATAATATATATTTAATTCCCCCTTCGATAGTTTTCTCTATAAATTATAGAGCATCTTAATAGTAACCCTATATAACTTTTAATAGATTACGATTTACTAAAAAGCGAAATTCGTTATATAAGGTTAATACTTACGAGGTAAGTTAGCTCTTTTTCTAGGCTAGTTTCGGGTGATGTTCGGTGTCAAAAGTGCACTTCGCGATCTTACTCAACTTCCTTACCTAATAACTTTATAACTTTAAATATGCTAAACAAGTCAAGTAGATGCAATTAATTGCAATCATCGAATTATTGATTCTACCAACGTATATCAAATTTAGAGGGTGGTGGAGTAAAAATATCGTAAAGTGTTTACCCTGAATTTTGGTGGTGTTTTAGGGTTTATGCAGTAGCAGTGGTATAGTACTGTACGACGTGTACTATTATAGGCAGGATATAAGCCTATAATGTAACCCTCTTAGCTAATCGGATTGTCTAATTTATATAGAGGTATATTAGAAAGTAATTAAGAGGGGAAGAGGGAAAGGGCGGGGGCTAGAGATACCCGAGCGACCTAGACCCTTTATAACCTTAAAACATAGGGACAGGATCTCTGTATAGTTTAGTCACGTTTTATATAACTACTTGAGTACTACTCGAAAAGTTAACTCGACTACTCAACTCAACTTAACAGAATTCCCTAATCATACTTATTCGACTTAACTCGAGGTACTACTCGAGTAGCGTTGAGTATTTGATTGGTTTTGTTAATACGCTGGCCTAGTATTCAAACCCTATAAAACTAACATCCTTATTCACATCCTCGTTCCCATTCTCATTCCTATCCCTACCCCTGTTCCTCCTACCTAACCTTCACTCCACAAAAACAATCAAAATCAAGATCTCAAAATCACCCGAAAAAATAAAATCTTCCAGATGTAAAAAAGTAAAGAAAGAAAATAAATTTACTGTATTCTGATTCATGAAAGACTACCATCTACCCTACCCTATTGAATGTATTCCCAGCCTTCACACCGAACAACACCAAGCACCAAACAACACCAACACCAACGCCGCATCAAAGAAAAAGAGAAATAGAGGAAAAGAGAATGAATCCCGGTAAACCAAAAATCTAAGGCGTTCGAAAAGGATGTAAAGGAAAGAACATCACTCATTCCCCGTCCTTTCCTTCCCTTCCTTCATCCTAAGCATCCACTCGTCACACATCATAACAATCATCATCAAAAACATCATCATCACACGTTTCCCCTTCCTACTCCTTCACCATCTTAGCTCCCGACCTTTCTCACGAAGCCATACTCACCTCAAATAGTCTCCCAGCCCCCATTATTGATATCCATCTCCAGCTTCCGACTAATCACACTCGGGACGCCATGACTCAACCATACAGTTCTCAGTAGGGCATCATATCTTTTCTGATTCAAGAACAACTGTCGACTATGTCGAAGACCGGGGTCAACTTCACCATAACGATCAATGTACGGTGCCACGGTCCAGGATCCCGTCATATTGTAGAGGTAGAAGACGCAGCACTTTCGGATATTGATGTAAAGTCCGATGTTCTTTTGGCATCTATAGGAAACGACAGTTAGTAAATTTCGCAACAGAAGTATAATGCCACGTAGGGCAAAGATTTGAAAGAGAAGTAAAATGGGAACGTACTTTCTATGATGCTGCTGCGCACCACCAATTTGAGATGTCCCTCTACCGTCCGTATTCTCCACGGTTTTCAGACAACAGATTCCCTGTCCACAAAAGATCTCCCCGCAGAAGAGACAGAGCATAGGATCTGAAACATCCTTGCCCGTCGTAGGACAACGTCGTTTCATGGTCTCTTCCATAAGAGTGTCAAAATTCTTTGGCAACCCAATAAGTTCGAAAACAGCTGGGTGGCTAAGTGTCACGCCCGATTTAGGATTTTTGTGCAAGGGCTCTCTTGCGGATAACACCCAACCTTCAATGAGGTTCCCAATGATGGGATTATGATGGTGTTGATACGTCGGTCCTATTGAAGCGCACATTTCGTCAAAGCTTGGCAACTTTAATACCTCCGTCAAACGATCCAGCTCATCGGCATCCGGATTAGACGGAATAAAATTGTTGAACGTGAGGCCGTGAAGAACATGGAGCAGTATTGCAACTTTTCGGAGAAAGACGAGTGCATACTTGCGCACAAAATTTTGGCACGACTGCGGCCCATTAAAGCAAGGTTGAGAAAACACGCCTCCTTCAACGTCGTCATGGCTTGGATAATCCGGATCAAACTTTCTGACCGCGACACAGAAGTCGGCAAATTTGTCAAATCCTGGCTCACGATCGGGTAATGAAGAATCTCCTGTCATAAACTTCTCAGACCCAGTCCAAATAGAAAACTCGGATCTACCTCTATTTCTACCCATGATCAGAACAACCTTTACCAATTCCGCGAGATAGCATAGCTGAACAACGTGCATTATTTCCAGCTTGTCCACCGGCACAAGACAAAGAGAGCATTCAGTCAAGAAGGTGAATATATCGTGTTCAAATAGTGATCCGATTGGTTTGAGCCATCGGCGTTCCTTGATGTCCGCAACCACGTATTTGAGGAAGAGCAATCGATGCTGAAGTTCATAATCGGCACTGAACTCACGGGCTACACGATTTTGGCCTGCGCGATAAAGTCCTCCAACAGAGACAAAAGAAGCTGCAGTTTCGGACAGGATTCGAAGGTGTGTGAGAGCTAATTGAGGCAGGCTTTCCAAGAGACTCATGCCAGCAGTCGAGGCAACTCCTCTTTGTTGAATTTCAACGGCTGATATAGAATGTCCAAGTGTACGTGCCAAGGTGTCACCGTGTGAGAAGTCTACCGACGTCTCTTCGCCATGCAAGGTCGCGTGACGCGAAGATAGATTGTTCTTCTTCATAGTGTCTTTTAGCCGTTGGTAGATGTCAATAAGCTCCGACGTTGCTGAGTGCTCTGATGGCGAGTGGCTTGGGCCTCTGGAGCTAGCATCACTGTTCCAAGCCCCAGGTAGCGAGGGAGGGCCGACATTATGTGGTGAAGATGGATCCCAGGCTTCCGTTAGAAGCTCAGCCATTTTAGATGCCAAAGCAGTCGGTAGAACCTTGTTATTGTGTTGTTGAAATAGCTCCACACTATCACTGGAACGCATTTCCCGATTGAGTTTGGAGAATATGCTGCAAGCTCTAGGAGGACTATTAACATATTCGTGAACCCATTTGTCAAATGACGCCACCGGATGGAATGATAAGAGGGTATGTTCTTCCTTGGGTGACCAAATAATGGGCAAGAAAGCGTTGCCCAGAGCTTTACATAGTGGGCAAACAAATTCGTTGCATGACAATGTTTCGGGGTGATGTCTCGCTATTTGATGCTGATGTCTTCTTACTGAAGCTTCATAGTAAACTTCAAAGCATTTGTAATGCATAATATGGCCGCATCCAACAGAGACCGGCCCGGCCTTGGTCGACTCAGAGGGAAATCCTTTACCAATAAATTGTCTCTCCGTCACAATATCAACACCACTAGCCGTAACTTTGTGTACCTCTTCTCGATTCTCTCCGGCAACTCCGCAAGGTCGGAAATCATCAGCCGGGCGATCCAAGTTTGAGGGAGTATTGAGAACTTCGCGAACAAAGTCGGGATCGTCAAACGGAGTCTGACGAAGAACACTGCTTTTGCCCATCAAAGCAAACGTGCCATAAAGTCGGCCGTCTTTTGTTTCTTCTTGACAAAGGATACAAGTCCCGGTGGGGTATTGCCAAAAGGTTTTGTGACTTTCTCCCTCCTCTTCAACGTCAATGTCACTGGCTCCATCCTCACCCCAATCAATATCACCCTGATTGGCAATAAAATTCTTTTGTTGTTGCTGAAACTGAGCCATGACTTTGGCTTGTCGTTCTTTGGCTGCCTGCTTCTTTCTCTCTCGGTCTTCCAATATAGTACTATTGGCAGGCGAGGCAGTTGAAATTCGGTCCACTGAAACACCCAGGCGCGCAAAAGCATTCTCAAAATTTCGCGGACGCTTTTGCTTCATTCTTTTCAAGACCAACGTAATCTTGGTATGGCAAGCCTTAAACTCTTCCTTCTGAGACAACATCTCCAACACCGCAGCAATTGTTCTTGATGCGGGTGCGTTTGGTAAGAAGTTGCTTCGTGCAGCACTTGTGAGAGCGATATAAACAAAAGATTGAAGTGACTCCTCCGACATCTCATCCTCATCAGTGTTGTCTTCATGAATAGCGATCAGAACGAGATGTAAGACAATATGAAGGAAAGCCTCGACTCGAGTTATTGGAACAGTGGGTGTCAAGTCGGAGGATTTGAGAGGGTATAGAAGCGCGTAGTAGATGACTTGTGCGAAAATGCCAGTTCTCGTGAAGGCTGATAGGTCCGAGAAGGCGCCAAATGCGATTGGTCGAAGTTTGGGCTCAAAAACAATGTCGGTCGCTGCTCGCCCAGTCTTCTTTGCCATGTAAGCCTTGTAAGCGTTTTCGGACTCTTCTCTTTGATTCTTGTTGTAATGAGAAATGTATGGGTCAACGTCCTCAAGATACTGCTCCTTCAATTCAAAGGTTCCAACGTCTGATAGTCCTTCTGGGGGCTTGAACGTGGTCATCTCGTCAAGAATGTCTTGACATTCATCCTGGTCTTGAAATTTGTCAGGAAGCTTATTGCAGATCTCCGAAAATGATAATGGCTTGAAGCAGAGGACGTGTGTGATATCTCGTCGCATAGCAAGAATATGGGTGTTTGTCTCTTCTTCGTTGGCGACTAGAGAGGTACGATCACTGATCAACACAGTAAGGAGGTGTATCAAGTCTTCGGCCACATCCAAAATTTGCCCATCGTCTGTTCCTTCCGACTTTTGTTCGTACAAACCTTTCATCCAGTGTTCCAGTCCATAACGATCAATTATCGTGACTAAAACACGGGCGGGTGAACAAACTACCATGGCTGTTTGAAGAAGAAATATGTCTCTGTGGTGAGATACATCGCGCTGGCTTACACCCCGATACGTGCTGTGCTGATGTCGAAGACTCATACCATTGCGGACCCACATGCTAGCCTTCATCTGGGCTAACCATGCACACACGCGGAGGGGATAGTCGAAAGCCGCCATCAAATGGTCTTCTGGGGTATACTTTAGGCTCGGCATCACTCGTTGGCCCATTGCTTTGGGCTTGTCGAGCAGCTCCGCTGTAGTGAAGGACAATAAAGATGTGAGCTGCTCACGAGACATACTCTTCCCGCATTCAATCAACCAAGAAAGAGTATAATGAAGTGCATGATGAAAACTGATGGGCTGAGAGTCAACGATGAATTTGACCACATAATGTTGTAAAACGCTATTGGCCATTTCGGTGGTGTCAAATTCATAGTCGCCAACTTTTTTGAACTTGATTTCATCCTTGATCTCTGCTTGTTCAAAGCGTTTTCTTTCAGTCCCAAGAGAATTTAGTATTACGGACTTTGCGGCCAGTCGGATAGCTTTACAAATGTACGTGTGGTCATCTCCCAAATTCCATTTGAAGGACTCTGAAAATTGTCTGCACAGTCGATTGATTTCTCTGGTAATCAATGACGCCGAGATCCACGCGTCTGTCTCATACTCAACATGATCTCCCACCGCTCGTGTGTTTGGGCAAATTCCTTGGTGGAGTTTCACTAGATCAAGGAACTGAAGCATGTATCTATCTTCTGTACGGAGCTTCTCTTGTACATGTTCCGAGCTGAAAAGATATTTCAGATCCAGAAAGAAATGGTACATTCGTCGATTAGTGACCGAACCCGAATCAAATGCAAGTGTGGCATTTGGCGATATCTCATACGGATGCCCAACTTGTCTTGTGGTAAGGAAAGTGTATAGAATGGCCATCAAATTGGTCAAAAAGTTGCCTCTTTCCACAATCTCAGCAGTAATAGTTGGCGTGGTTAACATCTGCAGGGAAATGTTGATGATTGAGTGATCCGGTTCCCGATCTGCAATAAGATAAAGTTGTGCAAGCGTGGTATAAAGTCCAGCAAATCGTAATCCAAGCACTCTTTTGAACTCGGGTATCGATACCACGGTTGAAATGTAAAGATCCCGAAGGTCGATTCGAACCTTTTTCCACATTCGTAGATCAAACAAGACCATCCAATCCAGTCTCAGGCGTTCCCAAAGATTTTCATGTAGAGGCACCGATTCGCGATCACTATAGGTTTGCGAGGTCTCCAGCCAGTACCGCGCGGGCTTGGATGGAGGCAAATTCGTGGGTTTTGGTCCAGGAGTTTTAGGGACCTCTATATTAGCTTTAGCATACACAGTATGGGAAACAAGAGGGAGTATCTCGGCAGTATCGGAATCAGAGGGGGTCAAATCACGGTCTCGGTTTTGTCTTCGAGGCGCAGGAGGTGGTGGAGGTGGAGGTGGGAAGCCCGCACCAGTTGCTTCCCCAGTCTCCAGAGGAGAATCTTCTGCATCATCCCCAGCCATCATAATATCTCCATCAGGGTCAGTTTCGGTCTGTGTAGCACCTGGATTGAACAGATAACGCTCAACAGCCGTAGCAAAATCGGACTCTTCATCGTCCTCGTCGTCATCGTTATCAGAATCCGAATCATCCGCAGGTCCTACTGATTGAATTTGGAAATTGGGGGTATCATCATCGTCGTCGTCGTCGTCCGAATCATCAGCGGCGGCTGTGACAACAATGGCCGCTCGTCGGAAGACCTCCTGCTGTCTTTGGATCATCTCAATTCTACGGTTGTCTTCCATCTCGTGGTCGTCCAATCCCTTCATGCCCACGTCTTTGTTAAAGCCAGAACTTCCAGTACTCCATTTCTTAAGCATCTCTTCACAGATGACCTGCCGCAAGATATTATGATCAGGTCCAACACTGCACCCGGCAATATCATTCAGCCACCCGATGATAGTTCCACACATCTGTTCTCGGAATGTATCCCTAGCAGAGCGAATTGTAACGGTGACTTTGATCTGTTCGATGACCTTTGAGACACGAAGTAGTTCGTCCACATCGAAACTATATTTGATGATACTTCGACCAATGTCATCCGTCTCGTGAGCTCTCTTCATACCCTCTGCAACTGTGGTTTTGCATGCCCGAGCAACCTGATCCTGTACCTCGTAAACGGTATGCTTCTCGTCATTCCACAGTAAAAGAGCAAACTCGCAAGGTTCCTCAGCAACATCTCCATTATAGAATTGAGATCCAAGTCTAGAAGATCTCTCATCCTCCAATATACCCTCCTTAGATTTCGGGAGACGAAGCTGTTCAGGAGAGCATGAAATGACGTCGCAGATGTAGTCAAAGGTTCTCCCTATAGTCATGCGAATTGACTTGACGAGTTCATGCGGCAGGACGGGTACCTTTCCCTTTCCCTTGCCTCCTGGTACATCTTCATCGTAGGCTGTGTGTATTGAACAATGGATGGGTAGTCTCCAGGCTTCTGGGTCTCCACAGTCACAACATCCACTATTTCCCATCGAGACACTGACATACATAATATGACCGGTGTGGTCTGAAGAATCGTAACATCGACTGCAAAGAACGCAAGTATCGTCGGCACTACATGTTTTGCAGCGGTAGGTTGCCTCTCCTGCCTTGAATATATGTCCACATGCCTTGCCTCTCGCGGCCTCTGTAAATTCGTCGCCATCTGCACCTCCCTGTGCCTTTCTCAAGATCCATTTCTCATTTGGAGAGGGTCTTCCGCCGGGAAAGAGTAGATTGAAGTATTCTTGCTGACCGCCCACCAGGGACCAGAACAAGTTCTGCATGAGCGAGTTTTCTGCGTTGGTGGTGTATCGATTGCCATGAGAGTGGGGTTGTACTTTCAGGAACTCGCAGAGCTGTTGCTCCTGGGTTGACATGGTACCAGTATCCATGATGTTATGTTTTTCTGGGGCACTTTGACATGCCGTATGAGCGTGATGGAGTTGGACAGCGGTGCATCGAGCTGGACTTGATCCAGGCCTTGACGTGGTGTTGTATTGTTGTTGTCAATACTCGTAGATAGTGTTGCCTCTGCGTCGCCTTATGCCTTATCGGGAGAACGAAGCCTCGCCCTCGCTTGGTACAGGTGCAGGTGGTGGTAGCTTTACGTTAGGTGGGATGAGGGGAAATCGAGGAGCAAGCTTTGGAGTTGGAATAGTTGATTGCAAGATAAGTACACTTGGCTCAAAGTATCGAGGTTGCACGCAAGATTATTTGACAGCGATATTTGTGTGGTGAACTCGCTGTTGTATTGTTGTGTTTTGTTGGGGCCACTCTGAGGGCATGAGTTTGTCATTATCCCACCCCACGCCAGCCCATGAAACAACCCTGAAGGAGGAAGGCTGAGAGCTGCTAGGGACGGGATGCCTTCAACCAATGATAGCGAAGCATATTTATATGACCATTCCCGGCATAGAAATATTCAGTTACCAATAGCTTCACTTCAGAATGATGGTTGCAACATTTTCTGGTCAATCGAAGTAGGGAAAATCACATAGCATTCGCATTGCCTGGATGCGGTAGTCACGCATCTTCGTGAACATGCATAGTCTGGTACCACAGTCGTCTTTTATACACTCCAGCTCAACCCGAACGCAGCGCCCATCAAACCCTCTATCAACGGATTCCAGAGCCCTTTACCTCCTCCCGCAATGCATGCATTCTTCTTACGTTCCCCCTACTCGTCATCGTCGGCTGCCTCGACGTATTTCGATCGGATGTCCTTCCATTGTCGCTATTCACAGCACTATCAGTTTGATCCCATTATTCGAGATCCAGGAATTAACGTACGCCCTTGTTGAATTTGTCCCAGATTGAGTCCATTGTGTTATCGAATCCCCTACATACGTATTAGCGTCTTTCGCCTTCGCCATTCTTGCAGTCCCAAATTCAGTCCCGGGTATGTCCAACATACATCTCAAATGCGAACGCTCCGCCAAAGACCACGCCGAGGAAGACAAAGTTCCTTCGGAAAAGAGTGCTGCATGGAGAAAACAATTAGCACTCTGGCTGTAACATCGGTGGTGGCATCGTGGTAGTCGGTCGCGGGAAGAGGGCGTGTGGGGGTGACTTGCTTGTAAATCGTTGATGCGACGGCCTGCCATTGCACGAGTTAGCAAAGTTTGTACTATATGTAATTAGCGGGAGGGCATCTGGCTGACCATTGTGAAGGATGTGACTACGTCGAAAAGTGACTTGAGGCGAAGGTGGATTGTTCTTGATTCTGCTTCTGCTCGTTGGAGGTTTTAGCTCCAACTTCCGCTCATCTGGGCGGTCTTTGAAGATTGTGATTAGTCAGCCAAGTCTTGGCGCTCGGAGAGCTTTCTCAGCCTCGCGGGTCCAAGAACTTTCGTCGACACCCCACCACGACAGTCGGGTTGCGACGACGACTCGTACAATCTTGAACCTCAAACATCCGTCAAGCTCGGGGGAGCCCCTGTCACAAACTTGGGCCATCTGATATCTGTTTAACAACATCGGCGAAAACTCTCTTTGGGAACAGCTTGGCTGTCCTGCCCACAAGCTTTAGTCAACATGCCATCAGTCCCTACACCATCAAAAGCTGGAATTGTCGAGACCACAACCGGAGAACGTCACATTCCTTCTTCCGTTCGTCCCGATGGCTCGAAACGCAGAGAAATCAAGATCAGACCAGGTTACAAACCCCCAGAGGATGTCGAGGTTTACAAGAACCGTACAGCAGATTCATGGAAGAATCGTGGGAGTGGAGGTATACCCGGCGCAGACGGATTGAAGGACGACAAAGACACGGCAGCTTCGGCTGCAAGTAACAAAAATGCCAAGAGAAGAGAAGCCAGGAAGAAGGCAAAGGCAACAGAAGAAACGGGCGCTGGGAAAGTGAAGGATGGTCCTGGTGGAGCTGGAAAGGAGAACGAAGAGGCTATTGACCCCGAGGCGGAACGTGAAAAGAAAGCTAGAAATCTCAAGAAGAAACTGAAACAGGCAAAGGAATTGAAAGAGAAGAAAGAGGGCGGTGGTGCGTTGTTGCCGGAACAATTCGCCAAGGTTATCAAGATCAATGAACTGATTCGCGAACTTGATGGTTTGGGATTCGATGCCGAGGGAGAACCAAAGCCGAAGGAGGAAGACACGACGACTTGACATCACAAGCAATCTTGGAGGAATCAATTGCTATGACTTCATGAAAGGGGCGTTCTGGTAGCATATTGGAATTGGTCTGGGGTATCATCGACCATATCGGCGTCACGGGGTACCATAAGCGATTACATAGACGAAAGAAACTGGTCAAGCAACCGCTATCTTCGAAATGAGTGTTATTTTTTGTTACCAAGTCAATTCATGATCTATTAAATACGAGATATTACTTTGGCCAGCGACCCACGCGGCTGACAGCACATGCATCCCCAGCTACGTAACTGTGGGAAATTCCATGAAACATCTAGAATATTTGTTTGCAGAACTCGGAAAATAAAACGATTCAGAGTGAATCGTTGGCATCAGCCTCTGCCGAAATATTGACCTTCATCTCTCCCACTCTTGACTCCACTTGCCTGACTCAAATGGTCCACCAGCCCTTCAACCAATCAAAGCATTGCTACTTTTTGTACTGCTTTACTGCTCCAGAGCGACATCTTTCCTTCCCAAAACATCGCAATCATGGCAACATTAGACCCAATTCCAGTCTGGCTTGATTGCGATCCAGGTATGTCCTCTCTGGAGCTCATAAATGCTCTACAACTAACTTATTTGTACAGGTCACGATGTAAGCCTATCATTGAGATATTGATGCTTCCCATTGCTAGTCACATCTCAATATTCCTTTGTTCCTCAACTCAACACATTTTTCTTTGCCTTTCAAGAGCAGATTATGCATTCTTGCCTATATATTCGGTTCGACTTTGTTATCAGGTCACTAACACCATCTCTAGGATGCATTCGCAATTCTCCTTTGCGCTCATCACCCCTCGATAAACTTTCTGGGCATCACAACCGTACACGGAAACTCCTCTCTATCCCACACCACCAAAAATGCTCTCTCGCTCGTCACCGCTATCGGCCGTCCAGATATCCCCATCTACGCCGGCGCAGCAAAATCACTCACCCGCCCGGCCGTCCATGCTCCCGACATCCACGGAAAGTCAGGACTTGACGGCACCTCACTGCTTCCCGTCCCAACTATCACGCCTATCGAAGATGATGCAATTAAAGCCATGGCTAAAGCACTCCTTGCCACTCCCCCTCAATCAGCCTGGTTAATCGCTACTGGGGCGTGTACGAACGTCGCGCAATTATTCTCAGCTCATCCTGATGTAGCACCTCATCTCAAGGGCTTAAGTATCATGGGCGGCGCAATCGGCGATGGTTTCACCTCCGCACCCATGGGTCGAGTCACAGGTGCCGCCAAAGACAGAATTGGAAATTGGTCTGAGTGGGCTGAATTCAACATCCTCATCGATCCTGAAGCTGCTGATCAAATATTCACCAATCCAGCCATCAACAAGAAAACCATCCTCATCCCATTAGACGTCACACATCTCGTCCTCGCGACCAAAGATGTCCTCGAGCTGCTATCCTGGGGCAAAGAAGGCAAGAGCGAACAAACCGATGAAAAAGTCAAAGCCAAGACAACGTTACGAACCATGCTCGTCGAGCTCCTTACCTTCTTCGCAAATCGGTACGCTGAGCATTTCAGACTCACGGCCGGCCCACCACTTCATGATCCCCTGGCTGTAGCAGCTATCTTCGACGGGATCCCCGGTCTCGAAATCCCTTTTCATGATTTCGTTGATAGGGGAACGGGGTTGGAAGAGGGATTGGGCAGTGGAGTTGGGGGAAAGAAGAGGAGACGAGAGAGGTACTCTGTACATGTTGTTACGGAGGGGAGTCATGAGGATGCGCAGAATGGGGCGGAGACTGGACGGACGATCGTTAAGTTACTGGATGAGGGTGAAGAAGGTGTGAAGATTCCTAGGGGTTTGGACGTTGGGAAGTTTTGGGCGGTGCTGGAGGATTGTTTGGAGAGGGCTGATGAGGTTGTTGGGGAGAAGGGCAGGGATTGAAATTTGGACTCAGGTCTACGATAACATTAGAAGTTTGCTAGAAAGATGTCTTGGAAGATTCAAGACGCTTTAGAGAATACCTTTAGAGAATACCTTTGGTCTTCTTTGGTCATTCAATTCAATTCCTAGATCCGCTCGCACCGACAGAAAAGAATCTAATAAATACTAACCGAGTACACCTATTCAAAATCCTTCTTACTAGCATACCATCGAAATATACTAGTGAGCAGATATTAGCTAGCTCGCTACGCTCCCTTGGGGCTAGCGTACAACGAACAACATCTATAAGTACGTAGGGACTTACAGTAGCTAGCTATACTTGCTTCCTTATGCAATACAGAGGACCTAGTCACTACACAATACGTAACATAGGTCTATTTCATCACCGTCTATTGATATCTTGTATATCGACTTAGAGTCAGGTTAACACATATCCAGTTTCATGGCTCAATTTCACCAATTTACTAGCTCTGACCCAAAGCTGCCTAGCAAATATTTGACACCAAGAAATATATCGGTTTACTATACAAAGTACAATTTATACAGTATTCGCACTAACAATCTAAAAGCAAACTACACCATACCATACCCGCCACAAGAATCCCCCCAACTCTCGCCAACTCCGTGCATCCTCGTTTGATCCATCCAAACACTCATCAACCAGTGCCACTTCCTCACCATCCCAATCCCACCCTTCCCTTCCACTTGCGTCTTAACGAGATACTCTAACCCACCCAACCACTTGACTCGGAAGCCCTCCCTCCATTCCTGCATTCTGTTTAAGCTACACCTTAACACCCGCCCGCATCCATTTACCTATCCCGAACTCTCCTGCCTGTAAACACCCGAGCTTAATACATCGACGTATTATTATTATTAGATTCTAATCTACGTAGTACATACATTCTCGGCAAGTCTTAATTTCCAAAGATTCCTTTGTTTATTTGAAAGAGAGAAACACGAATCCCATGGATTCCCTCATTTGGATATTTAGTTACTATATAACAAAGAACTCAACGACCTCTTAATAAGACGCCTACCAAACACCGCCAGGATTCGGGATACCTCTTAAATATCAGACGAATTAAATACCTCGCCCAAATTTCGCTACACTATGAGTGTGCGTGAAGATTGTGGGGTTTATGTACAAGGGCCCTGGGCCAGGCCCCACACACACCTTCCAAGATTGTTGACGGTAAGGTAAGGTACCTGGCAATGTATATACCCCTTAATAGCCGAACCGCTCCCAAGTTTGGACTCGCCAATCGGGAGGAATTTGTGTTTTAGATCAAACGGATGGGTAGGACGGGTTCCTTTGGGTAAGTGACGGAGTGGCGTAGGATTGTGGTTACCGGAGGCACGATTCATTAGGAAGAGTTTTTGTTTGATTGTTATTGGCGG